GTGTGTGCGTGTAAAGCATTTCCTTTTTTTCACGATTTTACAATCAGCTTCCCACGGAATTAGCCGAAACCTTTCTTTTGACCAGCCAACATGTAGCACACAGCTGCGCCGTGACTCAAGACAACTATGCCACTGAAATGTGATAAGGACAAGGCAAAATCATGTTTGCATAATGTTTTCATTTTGATAAGTTGAAAGCTATTTTCCTTTTTTTTTGGTCCCCTGCCTATTTCTATGATATTGAAGCTATCTGTTTAGTAGAAACAATGCGCGAATGACAGTGTCCAATATTGTATTATTATCACACAGATTATTTGTTATAACATGTAACTGTTACTGATAGATGTTCAAGATAATTATAGATGTATGTCGAGGATGTGAGAGCAATGATGATTTTTGAAATGATAGTGGTAATAAGTGATGATGTGAAATGGTGTTTACGTAGATAATTATTAAGAAGACATGCTTTTGTTAGTTGAGGGTTTAAAAATGTTAGCGTTAGTCCTATCTTTCTCTGCTGTGATGAGCCACGAGGGATGTGGGCACCCACTGTCCCGTTCCCTGTTGGAACCATCTTTAATGCCACCGAGAAGTTCCGAAATGGTGGCCGCGGTCTCTGCTAAGGTGACCTTGTTAGTACATGTACAGTATTAACATATTATTCTAGCGGTCCAAGACAAGTGAAGACAGGACGTAAGTAGGTAGACAGTACAGTGGCAGCAACGTTAGGGATTTCGTGAGCGGGTTTTAAGAAGCAAGCTGACAACCAGGTTATAGACTTATAGAATACAGTAGTCATAAATTATACGAATCCCTAATCTTTTATCTCAGTTATTCCTGTCGAGTCTTATTTAAACTTCAAGTTGCGGAGATTCCGACACAAGATCTTTAAACCCGAGTCGAGAGGGAATAATTTACACCCAATATTGTATCCCCTCGCCTCAGGGGGGAGAGGGAAAGCTATTTTCCTTTATTTATTCGTGTTGCTTTTTTCACTTCGTCGTCTGTGATTTGAGGATACGATTTTTATTACGATTATAATAATGATTATGATAATGATTATTATTACACATATATCAATAATAACTATAATAAGTGTAATAATAATAATAATAATAATAATAATAATAATAATAATAATAATAATAATAATATAATTATCATTGTTATTATTGTTATTATAATGGTTAATACAATTATTATTGCTATTCTTATTATAAAATTGATAATTATAATTTTTTTCCCTTGGTGTTGTTTGATTTTAACACCATTCTCAGCACTGTCGTGTAAGATTTAATAAGAGGCATGACCTTCAATTTAACTAACGTCCATCTCCGATAGTGTTGAGCCAAACGGACGAAGAACGCGGAAATACTCCCCAAACAACCCAAGTACAACCATACAAAGCCTCACAGTGTAAACAGGAAGATGCAAGTAGAAGGAAAATAAACGAGCTGACGAATTTCATCATCATCATCATCATCATCATCATCATCATCATCATCATCATCATCATCACAGACAGACATACATACAGACAGACAGACAGACAGACAGACAGACAGACAGATGTACTTTTACGCCCCCATCCATACAATTTAGATCATTTAGGATGTTAGCTTTGCCCCTGCCTGTGAGGGCCAACTGGGGCTGAAAAGGGTTCAACATCTCAGCAGAAAAATCGAAACACTGGATAAAAATCCTTCCCAGATAATAATCAAACTCGGGTCTCCTGCGTGCGATGGCTAGGTAGAGAACTTTCTAAAAAAAGTGCAACTTCCGCCTACCCACTATAAAATTCTCCGCCACCCTGATTTGCCTCGTGTACACCTGCTGTTCTGGTGAGATGCTTCCATTGGTCCTCATAGGGGTGACAAACTCCTTGACAGTTGTTAGGACTTTTTTATTTTTTATTGGAGCCCCTTGACCAAAGATCCTCCACTAGAGGAGAGTCTTTGCCTTGATCGCGTCTTGGCAACAGAACGACGCAGACGCGTTAACCCTATACGTACGTCGTGTTCTACTCTTGTATCCATACGACGTGGAGAACTCTGTGCCACCACTTTCCAAAGAAGAAATTTACTCGTTAATCCGATCCGTATGCTTTGCATAGCAGTCTGTCAAAATGCTTTTTTGATAAATACTGAAAGTTTCAAAGAGATCTTAGCACTAGAAGTATTCTAACAAGTGAAGAATACTACCCTGGGGGTACAAAATGACCCAAGGGCGTACGGATAGGGTTAAGACACTTCGATTCAAGAATGCGGATCCCTCCTGTTTTCGTCTCGTTCTTTAGCCCGTTTCTTTATCAAGAACTGTTCGTAAACAGCTTTGTCTCAACAGCCTGTTTTTCTATGTTTTATCAAGAACATTTTCAAGGAAATCCTGATGAACACTCCCCCTTTCCTGCTTCTGTGTATGTCAGACTGGGGTCTAGATCCTGTTTGGGATGGTAATAGTTGTAAAGTGCATAGAGTCTGCTGTAGAGCACAGTTAGATGCGCCATATAAATGTAGCTATAATGATGATGATGATGATAATAATA